CGACAACGACGACGACGACACCGACGACGACGACGACGCCGACGCCGACGACGACGACGATGACAACGACGACGACGATGACGACGCCGACAACGACGATAACGACGACACCGACGACGACGACGACGTCAACGACGCCGACGACGACGACGGCGGCGATGATGACGACGCCGACGTCGAAGACGACGAAGACGACAACGACGCCGACGCCGACGACGACGACGAAGACGACGACGACGTCGCCAACGACGACAACGACGAAGGAGGGAGGACGACAACGGCGGCGACAACGACGACAACGCCGAGGGAGGAGGGAGGACGGCGACGACGCGAACGACGAAGAAGGAGGAAGGACGGCGACGCCGACGACGGCAACGACGAGGGAGGAGGGAAGACGACGACGACGACGACGACGACAACGACGACGACGACGACGGCGACGAAATAGGAGGGACGACGACGAGACGCCGACGACGGACGACGATGACGACGAGGGAGGAGGAGAAAGGACGACCACGGCGACAACGACGACGGAAACGAGGCGGCGGCGGAGGCGGAGGCGGAGGCGGAGGCGGAGGCGGAGACGGAAGCGGAGGTGGAGGCGGAGGCGGAGGCGGAGGAGGAGGAGGAGGACGACGAGGAGGACGAGGACGAGGACGAGGAGGAGGAGGAGGAGCAGGAGGAGGAGGAATACGAACCATATTAATCAGACGAATACTAATATGAATGAGCATGATAGCAGCAATACTGATAATCATATGAATCATACCGCTAATACTATTAGTAAGAAGAGTGAAAAGAGTAAACAACGTATACTATACGGCCAAGACGACTAAACGTACCAAATCTAATGGTAATACTATTGGTAAGAAGAGTACTAATACGAATACGAATAGTACGAAGAGGAGGACGAGCAGGAGGATGAGGATGAGGAGGAGGGCAAGGAGGAGGAGGAGGAGGAGGAGGCTGGGGGAAGGAGGAATGGGAGAGAGAAAAGGGAGCAGGGAGGAGGAGGAGGAGGAGGAGGAGGAGGAGGAGGAGGAGGAGGAGGAACAGGCGGATGAGGGGGATGAACAGGCGGAGGAGGAGAAGGAGGAGGAGATTGGTGAGGGCGAGCAGAATAGCCAACAACATCTTGGATGCCGCTCGGAGTCTTCTCGGACGCCTCTCGCGTGCTTCCTTGGGTCCTCCTGGGGAGTCTTGGGGGCTTCTCGGCGGTCTGGGGAGCCTGTTGTGGGTCTCTTGGGGACCTCTTGAGGGCCTCTTGGGGGCCTCTCGAGGGGCCTCCTGGGCGCCCCTTGGGCCCTCTTGGGGCCTCCTGGGTGCCTCTTGGGGCCCTCTTGGGAGCCTTATGAGCCATCTTGGGGTCATCTTGGAGGACGCCGATCAAAGACGGGGGGGGTCCTCAATAAGGCCACTGTCCCCACCAGAAGGCCCAAGTGTGCCCAACGCCCATGTAAAATGAATGATGCTTGCCTTTTCGTCGAGGTCAGCTTGCACGCTCCGACCCGCACCCCCCCCTCCAGGTCCAGGGGTAGGGGTCGGAGGGGAACAGGGGGGTAGGAAGAGGGACCGCTCTAAACCACTCACGCCCTAACCGGCTGGTGGGATTCGTGGCGCAACCTATGCGGTGCAGCCTGTGCGGTGTCATTCAGGTTGTGCAAGCTATGCGGTGCAATTCCCGTAGAGCAGCATCTGTGCCACAGTGTGTGTGTGTGTGTGTGTGTGTTGCGATCTGTGCGATGCAGTACCTGTTGCGCAATAGGTGTGGCACAGTCCATGCCGTGCAAATTATGCGCTGCAATCTCTGTGGGGCACTCCTGTGCGGTGCGCCGACAACGACGACGACGACGATACCGACGACGACGACGAGCGTTTGATGCAATCTTGCAACAGGGTAGCTTGATGCCATCTTGTAACGTGGTAGCTTCATGCCATCTCATACTACTGTACTTTGATGCAATATTGTCTCATGGTAGCCTGATGACATCTCATTCCACGGTAACTTGATACTATCTCATTCCGCGGTACCGTGATGGTATGCTGTCTCATGGTAGCTTGATGCCACCTTGCAATAGTTTGCGGCGGCCCAGGCGTGGAGGCCGTTTCGCGAGCAGAGCCTCGCATCCTCCACAAACACCCCTCCATCTTTCCTCTCCTCTTTCTTTTGTTGCTGGTTTTTTTTGTTGGTGCTTGCGCGCCCCCGGGGTCCCGACGGTCACCTCAACGTCTCCCCACTGAAAAACCTGAGGCCTGGAGGGTGTGCCGTTCGCGGGGGCCCAGGCGTGGAGGGCGTGCCGTTGCCTAGTAGGAGTAGTAGTAGTAGTAGTAGTAGTAGTAGTAGTAGTAGTAGTAGTAGTAGGAGTAGTAGTAGTAGTAGTAGTAGTAGTAGGAGTAGTAGTAGTAGTATAGTAGTAGTAGTAGTAGTAGTTAGTCGTAGTAGTAGTAGGTCGTAGCAGTTGGAAAGCAGTAGACGGAGTATAGTAGTTAGAAGTAGTAGTAGTAGTCGTCGTCGCGTCGTCGTCGTTCGTCGTCGGATCGTCAGTAGTAGTAGTAGTGTAGTAGTCGTAAGTAGTAGTAGTAGTAGTAGTAGTAGTCGTCGTAGTAGTCGGTCGTAGTAGTCGTAGTAGTCGTCAGTAGTTAGTAGTTAGTAGTAGTAGTAGTAGTAGTAGTAGTAGTAGTAGTCGTAGTAGTAGTAGTAGTAGTAGTAGTAGTCGTAGTAGTAGTCGTAGTAGTAGTAGTAGTAGTAGTAGTTAGTAGTTAGTAGTAGTAAGTAGACGTCGTCGTCTTAAGTAGTAGTTAGTAGTAGTAGTAGTAGTCGTAGTAGTAGAGTAGTAGTAGTAGTAGTAGCAAGCAGTAGTGGTGGTAGTAGTAGTAGTAGTAGTAGTAGTAGTTAGTGTAGTCGTAGTAGTAATAGTAATAGCGTAGGTAGTAGTGTAGTCGTAGTAAGAGTAGTCGTAGTAGTAGTAGTAGTAGTTCAGTAGTAGTTCGTTAGTCGTAGTAGTAGTAGTAGTAGTAGTCAGAGTAGTAGTTCGTAGTAGTAGTCGTGAGTCCGTAGTGTAGTTAGTAGTAGTAGTAGTAGTAGATAGCAGTTAGTAGTAGTAGTAGTAGTGGTAGTAGTAGTAGTAGTAGTTGCAGTAGTAGTAGTATGTAGTTAGTAGTAGCTAGTAGTAGTAGTGGTAGTAGTAGTATGTAGTAGTAGTAGTAGTAGTTATCGTGTACTAGTAGTAGTGGTAGTAGTAGAATG